TCCGTCCTCCCATGTCTCTTCCAGCTCTCGCCAAAACACATGCTCCTGCAAGGGAATCCCTCCTCATCCATCCAACAACAATCAAATACCCCAGCCGCCTACTTCTCCACCAGCTCAGGTATATCAATAGGTTGCCAGATTCCCCCTTCATCGCGCAGCAATAAAAAGCCCCCCACTCCGCACGGGGCAGGCAGCTTAACCATCGACGTCAGCCTCGAGACTGCACAATTCTACGTCTCTCCCGTCGTCCGCAACGGCGTCTTCCTGCCCCCACCCCCAGGCTCTACCCCAGATACCACCGTCAAAACTACCATCGAAATCTACAACCTAGAAGTCTGGGGTCTGGTGCCCGACCCCACAACCACGTCCGCAGAGGGCGAAAAAAGCGCCGTTGAGTTACAGCAGGCGAAATGGGACTTTGAAGCTCGGGAAGCTGAACGGCGGCGCAACGTGAATCTAAAGACTGGCGGCAGTGCCGCGGAAGAAAGCGCCAGATGGTTACTGGAAACCGCAGGGTTAATCGGAGACGGTGCAGGACGACGTGCAGGAGGGAGTGTCTAACCATAAACCTTGAAAAAACAAACCCTGGACCTGATAAGATAGTAATAACAGTACTAGTTCGCAATTGAGTTGATCATCCTTCATCACCCTTCTTACCAATCAATCAAAGATTCATCCATCCATCCATCCATCATCAAACAAAACTAGCAACCCAGACATCCATACTCCTCACCCCCTCCCTACCTCTAACATTCACCTCACACGCATCCCTCGCCGCCAACACCACCGCCCTCTCCCTCTCATCCCGCACAACCCTCCTCACCTCCGCCTCAAACCGCCCATCAAGAACAGCCGCAACCTCCCACTTCCCATCCAACAACCCCTCCCCAGTCTGTACATACTCCTCCCTCTCGACCTTCCACCCCGCCTCCACCGCCAACTCCGTAATCCTCTTCGGCCCCAACACCGTCCGCACATTCGAGTCACTACTATCCCCAGGTTTCCGACACTCCAGCGCCGCCTGCGCCAGCGCAGCGAGCACATGCGGCTGCGCGGACGGGTGCGTGGCTACTAGCCCCCATTCAGCCAGCAAGAGCCGTTTACTGTGTTGCCTGACGGCGCGGAAAGTAGACAAGACAACTGCGGGAGAGGAGAAGTACCAGAGACTATGGGCGAGGATTGCAGCGTCGAATGTCGGGGGTAGGGTGGAGAGGTAATCTAGTGGGGATTGTTGGATCCAGGTTATTCGGTTTCCTAGTGGGGATTGGGTGATGTGGGATTGGGCTTGGGAGAGGGTGTAGGGAGATCCTAATGGGAGATAGATAGCTGTATGTTAGTTTGCCGTAGACAGGTATGGTAGGGTATGATGGAGGAGTGGGGAGAGGTTGATGGGCCCAACCGTAATCAAGATCCGCTGGGTCAACTGCTACTACGCTGCCTTGCTCGCCTACGGCGGAGGCGAGGACGGTCGTGCAGTCGCCTTGGCCGCATCCTAACTCGAGGAGTTTGGAGCCTGCGGGGATGGTGGTCCAGTGCTGGAGGAGGTTTAGTCGGTGGAGGGTTTGCGAGTGTTGGATGTGGAAGTTGTTGGGGTCGTGGAGGGAGAGGCGCGCGATGGAAGCGGCGGTGGTGGAGAGGTCGGTGGACATTTTGATTTTTTGTTGCTGTTTTGCTGGATTGGTGTGGGATGATGGGGTTTGGGACTATTATAGTTCTTATTGTGGCTAATGGGAGCGGCGGATGGTGGCATCTTATCTGAGGGTTAGTTAGTATGGATGTAAGCTGACGCACAAACATCCCTGCAGTTAACTAGTTTGTTTTAGATTGGTTGAGTCATAAGGGATCGGCCTATTTCTTAGAGAGTAGATGTTTCCTTATCGTTTAGATTAGTCTTGTCTGGAAGTGAGTCAACGTATAGGTCTAATTGCATAGCGCAGTAGGAGTCATAGATGGGGTAAGCACGGCATTTTGGTAGATGGGTGGGAAAGATAGCAGCGCTAAGGGAAGGAATTTATGACGATAATCAAACATACACGGAATGCATTACTCATACATAGTCTAGGTGCTCAAACCTATATACTGTGAAACCAGTCTATCAATTATCACGCCCCCATAGGTGGAAGTCCCGTAGGCGGACCATAGAAATCCTTGAGTTCCTCTTCCTCTTCCTCCTCTACAGCTCCCTCGATATTCTCCACATCCGATTCCTCGTCCACCGTCTTACTCCGAGACTGCAACCTCCCACGCGCAGCAGGCACCGGAGTTCCGGTTTTCTTGCCGCTATCTTCTGTCTCAGGGGCCGGCTTGTTATCGTCGGGCTCTTCTCGGGGCAGACGGTATGCCAGGAATCCCTCGGGAGCGCGTTCCGCTCGGTCCATGATCTCGTTCATGTATTTGCGGACTTCGTCCGGAGGCTTCACGACACGGCCTAGAGGCTCGAGGACTTTGGGATTGTTGGTGAAGATGCGGAATGTCACGGGTTGGTAGTATTCCTTCAGATTGGAGTCTTTGTCCTTCTCTTTCTCCTTGTTCTCCTTTTCCTGGTCCTTGTCCTTGCTATCGACCTTTTTGTCTTTAGAGTCATCCTTGTCTGTGGAGAGTTTATTAGGAGTTTCGGATACTTCAGCCTTCTGGTCAGCTTGGGTGCTGCTGGCTGGTGCCTTATCACCATCAGGTTTAGGTTCGGTGCCGGAAGATTCAGGTTTATCGTTGGATTTCTCCTGCGGCTTGTCCTTTTCTTTATCCTCTGCTTTCCCTTTATCCTTGTCCGCTTCGCCCGCTTTCTCCTTGTTCTTGTCTGCTTTCTTCGACTTGGACTTGGATGCCTTGCCTTTGGCCCGGGGGTTGGCCGTCTCAGTAGCTGACTCTAAGGGAAACGTCGCGTTTGGATCAACCTTCCTCACGAGCAGGAACGAGGCAAGAACAGTATTTCCTCCAGGGAGCCATTCCAGAATTGTGTACTCGGGAAATAGATATCGATCACCAGAGCCTGCATGTCCGGATGTGCTGCTTCCATAGGGGGTCAGCGGTGACGTAAATTCAAAGACCACCGACTTATAGTTCTGTCTCGGAGGGGGCGGTGGCGGAGCTGGGCGATAATATGGCGCTGGCGACCCATACTGCGGAGGCCGAGATTGTATGGCAGGTGGATGGCTCTGATACGGAGGCTGTTGGTAGGGTGGGTGTGGAGGTCCTGGCCGCGGCGTTGATTGCTGCTGGGGAGGCGGCATGGGTCGTACAGCAGGGCTTGCCTGCTTTTGCGGATCCGGGGTAGGAGTTGGAGCTGGCGCCACACTAGGACTCGAAACGGGCTGAGACGGGGGCTGACCTGGCGCCGCCACGCCAGGTTCTTGCTTTATTACAACCTGAGGGGCTGGCTTAGGTGCCTGTGGAGTAGGCGTTTGTGGCGGTTGTGGGATGTTCGAGTTCGGAGGAGGGTGGGCAGGGGCGGCAGACGGTGATGGTTTGGGGACTTGCACCTCGACACGCGGCGTGGGCTGTGGTTGCGACTGCCCTTGGGGGGTTTGCTGAGGGATTTGCTGGGGTTTCTGCTGGGGGGTTTGCTGAACTGGCTGCGTGGGATGCTTTTGTGCAGAGGGAGGTTGTTGCGGAGGTTGCGAAGGTTGCGGCGTTTGCTGGGGCTGGGGGTGTTGTATAGGAGTTTGTGACGGACGCGGGGGAGGATGAGAAGGAGTGGAAGGCTGAACCTGGCGCTGCTGCTGCTGTAGCCGTTGTTGCTGCTGTTCCCTTGCGCGAATGATGGCATTCAGTTCGTCAATATGAGCCTGGAAAGCGCGGAGTTGCTCTTGAGATGCTTTGCTCGAGGCCACGACGCGCATCAACGCTTTGAGCTCAGGATCGGACGCGGCTCGTGTTGCAAGCATCTGAATGACGGGATCTGGGCTAGGCTTCGGCGGTTGGGCAGTCTGAGGGTGCTGGGACGGCGATGGTCTTTGCGCAGATTGAGGGCCAGGGGGACGGTGGGGTGGCTGACTTGGAGTCCGAGCAGGATGTGCAGGGGGTGGGTGGTTTCCGGGAGTGTAGCCAGGTTGAGGTGTTCCAGGAGTCGCCGGAGAACCTTGGGGTGGATGTTGCCGTGCATGTTGGGGCGGAGCAGGGGAGTGAGGATAGGGGTGGTATTGTTGAAAGTTGTTTGGATGTCCATAATGAACCATCGGGCGCTGAGGGGTGGTGTATTGGATCGGCGGCGGCGCGTTGGGATCTTTGACAGTGTACAGCATCGCGTCGAACAGATGAGGTCCGACAACAATGTTGCAAGCTCCAACCTTTGACATGGTCTCCTTAGGCGGATTCTTCCCTTCAATCTGCTCCCTCTTGGTCTTCTTGGGCTTGGTCCAGTATCTCTCCAAAATGCCGTCGCTTAGCCATTTCTTCTTCGATCGTTCCAGGGAAGCTAACAGAATCGCACTGTTACTGGTCAGCGACCGAAAGCTTTGAAATACACAATATGCGCTTCTGCGCGTGTAGTTAGGAGGGCACACATACCTTTCTGCATACGACTGGTACTCTTTATCCGTAAGAGTAGTTGGTTGCGGCGCGGCCGTAGTCGGAAGAGGCTCTCCATCCTTTATCTTGGTAGGCAAAGGGGGTTCGGTAGGTTCCGGTGGTGGCGGAGGAGGGGGAGAAGGGGCGACGACCGGTGTAGACCCCTTCTTCTTCGACTGTTGAGGTTGAGGGGATGGTCGAGACGGAGCTTCGGAGGCTCGTCGCTTTGCCGCGGGTTCGCGACGTTCGCGGGCGGGGAGTTTGCGTTTTTCGGCCATGCTGAGATGTAGAGAATTATTGACGAGCAGTTACACGCCAATCGGAAAGCCAGCTGATTGAAGCAGCGGACATCTCGCAGCCTCCGGGATTAAATGGTATGATGGGAAGGGATGAGAGTTGCGGAGGAGGAGAAAAAAGGCGGCGGAGAAAGTGAAGTTGGAGGCAGAAGCTGGATCGGGCAGTTCCACCGCCGAGCCTCAGCATCCCCGGTTTAATCATCCGCATCCTCTGCTTATTCACCGTTCCTGCGTCTAGCCAGGTCGCATTGGTGGCATTCAGGTGTGAATATTCTAAAATATATTTGCTGTCTTGATTAGATCCTGTTGAGAGGTCGCACCTTCAGGTTGCTTATCACAATTAGTGTACGGAGCACACGGCGGGTTCAAAGTAAGGGCTCCCGAGACATCTCGACTCGCAGTTCGCTTTATGTCTACCTTCAAATCGGCTAAACTGTGTACTGTTTAATGTAGGCCCATAGCCACCATGGTTGAGCTTCAACCCATCTTCAAAAAGGCCTACTGGGCCCTGGCAGCCGGTGGAATCTTCTATGCCATATTCGTCTGTGCCATGACGTATCCCGTAGTCCAAAGATTGTACGTTGTTTCGTTATATGCTCGAATCACTATTCGAGACGAGCACATTGGTTGACCTGCTGTCTACTTGTATCAGTGCCCTCTACGTCAACAAGATCAATCCCACTGCGTGGCAGGACGTCAACCTGGTGGAATCATTCGGCTTTCTCAGTATGTTAGACTGTTCCAGTCTACAGGTCACCGACCAGATCATACTCAAAGGACCAGCTCATTAACTACAACGAAAGAAACGCAGGTCCAGCCATTTAATCTCGTGACTCCCGATAACGAGACACTCTACGGATGGCATCTCCTGCCCCTGCAACTGTGTCACGAGCACGAAGAGGAGCTGAATGCAAACGAACCCGACGGACCAGCAGACGACTACACCAAAACCACTGCATTCAAGCTCCTTATGAATGACCCGAATGCCAGGGTAGTGGTCAGCTGTAAGTAAACACGATCGCACTCTAAATACAGCAGCTGATAATCTACACCAGTTCACGGCAACGCCGCCCACCTCGCATCCGCCCAGCGACCCGACATCTATCGACAAGTCCTGGGACTCTCTACACCCCAGAACCCCGTTCATGTCTTTGCCATTGACTACCGCGGGTTTGGCCTCTCAACCGGCACTCCCACAGAAGAGGGTCTAATCACAGACGGAGTATCCCTGCTCAACTATCTCACCTCCGGGCCACTGAACATCTCCCCGTCACGCATCGTTATCATGGGTCAGAGCCTAGGAACAGCCGTCAGCGCAGCCGTGGCAGAGCGCTTTGCGTTCGGTTCCCCAGACCCTACTGCTATCCAGCCAGCACTCAAGGACCCGGAACCCTTCGCCGGCGTTATCCTGCTAGCATCCTTCAGCAACGTGCCAAGTCTGATCGATTCCTACAGTCTGAAGGGAATCACACCTCCAATGCTCTCTTTGCTAGCCAACTACCCTCGGGCACACAACTGGGCAAAGAGCCACATCGTCGATCGCTGGGACACCGCCGCTAGGGTCGCGCGTCTGTCAGGAGTAAACACCAACATTACAGAAGATGACCCTAACCCCACTTACGCTAACAAGGGTCTCGACCTCTTCATCATTCATGCAGCAAACGACGTCGAGATCCCCTGGCAGGAGGGCCGGCAGGTCTGGATCGCCGCTACGGGCGAGGACATCCCCGGTGGCCCTGGCAGGATAGTCCACGAACGGAAGGACTCTAACGGACCGAACGAAGTGCAAATCTGGGAGAACCAGTCGACGAAAGACAACGCAGTTGTTAAGCGCGTCAGATGGGAGCGTGTTAGCCATGGCGGTACGTCGATAAAGAACCAAACCCAACACATAATACGTGGCATAAAAACTAACAATGAAGGACAAGGCCACAACCGCGTCGCAACCTTCTCCGTCGCCGCTCTTTCAGTGATGAGGGCCTTTGAGAAGTGAATCTCATGCCACCATATCTCGCCGTCAACCCCACATAGACTATTATTAGATATTACAGGCTAAATTCAGACTGGGGCTTGCACATGGCAGTTGTAGCCTCGAATTCTGGTAGCTAATAGAAACCTGGAAATGAGCGAGATGTAAAAGGAATCGCGAAAATCCACTTATAAGGCAGGCCAATCATGAAAGAGCTTAGGGACGCGTTGACGCGACTGAAGAGTCTGTATTCACTGTCAGATGTTCTAGAGCTTGTGTTTGTGTTCTATTGAGGTACTGCGAGTCGTTTGCATGTGGGTGTGCGTCTCGGGTTTTGGATGGGTAGGTATATTGGTGCTTGGTTTGGGATATATACTCGTTGGATGAGTGACTGCGGTTCGTAGAAGGACATAGAGTAGTACAGCAAAGGCGAGCAAGGCACAGAAGATATGATCCAACACCATGAGATTATTTGAAGACTTGCATTAGAGGGGGAGTAGTTTATGGTAGTACTAATGGGTTACCCGATTAAAACTACGTTGAACTGTAGGTCCTTTTCACCACCCAGGAATTGCTTTATAGCCCAGTATATGCTTGAAATTTGAATATATGAGAGGAGATATAACGACCTTTAGGTCAAATATGTACAGTCTGAAACCGAAATGAGCTGTCTCGGGGATGGACGGCCGGGTACCCTACCAACCCGGCCCCATGGCACTGACTGATAATTTTCCGACGCCCACAGGGCCCGTCTAGATTGCTTTATAAATAATACATGGCGCCAAATTATCTAAACATAATGAGAACATCGTCTTCGTAGGGAATACACGCCGAGAAGGGAAGAGGTAGGAGGGAGGATAGAGCGCGGGTGGGGGATTGCAGGTTCAAGAACCCCGAAAGGAGACGTAATGGGTATACTTTTGAACTGCATTACTGGTGTAGGGTAGCTTCAGAAGGTGGGTCTACCTCCGCAAAGCTGTTCCAAGCATCAAGCCACAGGATTGCGACAGGCTTATTTCTTGTGTCTGTCGGCCTGGGCCTTCTGGTACTTGGCAATGAGGTCCTTCCTATAAGTGGATTCTTATTAGTATCGGCTTAATGATATGTGCGGGGATACGGTGACTTACTGGAGGTGGGGAGGTGCCCTCTCGTAGTGGCTGAACTCCATGGTGTATTCACCCTTACCCTGGGTAGCCGCACGCAGGTGGGAACTGATGCCGAACATGCCGTTCAGACTGCAGTCCGCATACACGGTGAACTCATCAACACCGACCTCAGAGTCGTTGATAGTAGCATTACGCTTGTTCAAGAGAGCGATAACGTCACCCTGGAACTCAGATGGGGCCGTCACGACAGTCTTCATGATGGGCTCGAGGACAGCAGGGTTACTCTCCTTGAAAGCCTTACGGAAAGCCTGCTGGGTGGCGTTCTTGAAGGCCATTTCAGACGAATCAGTCATGTGGGTAGCACCATCGTTGATGACCATCTTGGTACCAAGGACCTTGTGTCCAATCAGAGGACCCTTGTCACAAGAGAGGTGGAATCCCTTCTCACAAGCGAAGAGGAACTTCTCCGAGATACTTCCACCAACAATCTGTTCCTCGAACACGTTCTCGCCAAGGCTGCCCGTCGGCTCCATCCAACCAACGACACGGGCGTAGTCACCAGGACCACCAGATTGCTTCTTCAGCAGGTGGTCGAATTCGACACGCTCGCCAAGGGTCTCACGGTAGGCAACCTGAGGCGGGCCAGTCTCACAGTCGACGCGGTATTCACGGCGCATACGCTCGAGGTAAATTTCGAGGTGCAGTTCACCCATACCAGAGATAAGAGTTTGTTCACTCTCCGCATCGAAGGTGACACGGAAAGTCGGGTCCTCTCTCTGGAAACGTGCCATGGCCTTGGAGAAGTTGGCACCATCCTTGTTGTTCTTAGGCTTGATGGACAGGGAGATGACGGGTTCGGGAACGAACATGGAGGACATGGTGTAGCCCAGCTGTCCATCAGTGAAGGTGTCACCGGAGGCACACTCGACACCGAACACAGCACAAATCTCACCAGCTCCGACCTCAGTAACGTCCTCCATCTCGTTAGAGTGCATGCGAACAATACGAGGGATCTTGACCTTCTTATCGTTGCGTGCATTGTAGACGAAAGAGCCCTTGCGGAGAGTACCTTGGTACACACGGATATAGGTCAACTGACCGAAGTTGCTCTCTTCCAGCTTGAATGCAAGACCGACCATGGGCAGAGAGTTGTAGGGGACGAGCTTCACAGAAGCCTCGTTGCGCTTCTTGTCAAGAGCAAGGTTCTGCACTTCGGAGGGGTTGGGAAGGTAGTCGATGACACCATCCAGCATAGGCTGCACGGACTTGTTCGCCAGTGCAGATCCCATGAAGACAGGGGTGAACTTCAGGTTGATGGTTGCCCGACGGATGGCCTGTCTCATTTGGTCCTCGTTGGGCGTTTCTTCCATGAGGAAGATTTCGGCAATTTCGTCATCAACGTCGGCGAGGGTCTCGATAAGCATCTGCCTTCTTTCCTCCGCCACAGCCTTAACCTTCTCGGGGATCTCATCGGTCTCGAAAAGTTCCTCACCACTGGGTCCACGGTTGTAAATCGCCTTCATGCGAAGCAGATCGACAACACCCTCGAACTCATCCTCAGCACCAATGGGCACCTGAACAGCGGCAGCGGGGATCTTAAGCTTCTTGTTGATCTGGTCAACAGCCTTGAAGGGGTTGGCACCCATACGGTCCATCTTGTTGACGAAGGAAATTCTAGGAACGTTGTAACGTCTCATCTGGCGGTCAACGGTGATGGTTTGGGATTGGACACCGGAAACAGCACACAAAATCATGACAGCACCATCCAAAACGCGCAGCGCTCTCTCGACTTCGATGGTGAAGTCAATGTGACCCGGAGTATCAATCAAGTTGAGGTGGTACTTCTGGTCCTTGCCCTCGGCGTCCTTCTTGACCCAGTCACAGAAAGTTGCGGCGGACTGGATGGTGATACCCTTCTCACGCTCCAGGTCCATGGAGTCCATCTTCGCACCAACGGCATCACGACCACGGACTTCGTGAATAGCCTTGATACGTCCAGTGTAGAAAAGGACACGCTCGGTACATGTGGTCTTACCACTGTCGATGTGTGCCTAGAATGACTATTAGATGCGAATATTCCAAGCAACTCTTATCCACAATGTCCTTACAGCAATACCAATGTTCCGAACACGGGACAGACGTGCTGCTTCGACGGGGTCAAGGTTTTCGATGATGGCCTCTTGCGACAGGGTGTCGGGATTGGCAGCGGCAGCCTCAAGCCTATGTTTATTTGAAAACAACGATCAGTAATTGGTCAAAGTAAAGTGCTTCTATTTGAACAAAGACAGCAAATAAGATAGACAGGACGTAGTAGATGCTTACACAGCAGCAGCAGTAGCAGAAGCGTTCCTCCTCTGCTGGAAGTGTTTGCTCAGGGTAGACTGATAAGCCGGAGCCAAAGTAGGTGAACGGAGAGCAGCCGTCGAAGCGCATCGCCGAGTCAAGAAGTTCTGGGACTGAAGACGGACTGAAGATCTGGTCAATCCAGAAACAGCGCGGCATGGCAGCCGCGCAAGAGTAGGAGTCCTCATGATGATCTCCGTGCACACCGAATCTCAATCAAACGTTGGCGCTCTTTGAGTCCCCAGGCGTCTCGATCTTTTCTGCGGCTCCGAAAAAAAGTTCGGGGAAGCCAGGCACGCAGTCACGTGAGCTATACTAGGATTGATTGGCCTCCGCTTTCCCGGGGGCCATTGCAGCCAATGATCTTTGGCTTGATTCTCATCAGGGTCAGATTCGAGGTGTCTAAAGGGATGTTGTATTGGAAGGTGCTGCAATTGTACATCATTCCCGATAAGCTATATCTATCCCCCCGGAAAGTGCACCGAAGGCGTGTCTCTTCCGGCTTCGGACCCATCAAAATTGGTGAAGCCGTGCTCTAGACCTTCAGGTACAGAGACGGCAGAATTGTGTAATTGAAATACTGTCCGTGCCGAAATATTTCGTATCAGTACATTGTAGCAGAACAGCTCACCGCCTTGTTCTCCGCCACCGTCCGTTAATCATCAATCATAGATGCAATCATTTACTATTTCCAGCAATCACTATAGAACCGTACCGCATTGATACTTCTTAGCTACCCAGTCGGTGCCCAGTGGACCATTTTATATAATTACCGTCCAAATGCGACCGTCTCTGAGACTTCTGGCTTCCGTATCTCGCAGCCAGCCCTCGAAGCTCAAGAAGCCAACCGTTAGCCTCGATCATGTGTGTAACCATCGCTAATTGAGTTGTTCATGCGCTGATATGATCGGAAGTTCATCCAAAGGCAACGAGTCATTTCTCTATGGCGTGAGATTGTGCGAGCGCTCAATAGTCAGTCCATATCTATAGTACTCATAGCAATCATGCACCATGCTGATAAAGTCGCAGAAATACCCAGCTCGTCCACCAAGGATGAACTGCACAGATATGCTCGTGGGGAGTTTGAGCGTAATAGAAACGTTACAGATTTGGTATGACTTCCTTACCTTTTCAGTACAGCACCAGACTGACGAGTACGGATAGCAACATATACGATATCTTATCTCGGTAAGTTCCCCAAGTGTTCTTTCATGGACAAGCAGCCTAACTATGCATAGACCGGAAAGTCAGAGTTCGATATGATGAGGCGGTATATTGACGAGCAGGTTGTCGGCTAATGGGGGAGAACTCGCCAGGATCAAGCACTAATTAAGATACAGGCTAAGGTCCAGAGAAATAAGATCAAGGGTTAAGAGATGGAGAGTGATATTCTGACAAAAATCGAATGCATATATGTACAATATCATAGATACCCAAACCAACATGAGAATCAAGTAAGAAACTCAACAACACTTCCTATTGCCAACCTTACTGCCTCGACAACAACTCCTTCACAGCACTTAGTACCCCAATCGACTTCTGTTCGGAGGGCTCAATAGCAGAGCGAGCAGCATCCTGCTCGGGGAATGACTTTTTAGCATTTGCGGCCTCGTTTGCCGCGGCTTCAATAGCCGCATGACGCTCCCGCCAGCCTCTGTCTTCCTTATCACGGATCTCCAACTCGCGCAGCCAAGCGTCCCGCTTTTCCTGGCTCTTGCGTGCCTCCACCATCTGCTCGAACTCCCTCCGTTGCTTCCGCTCGCTACCATAGTACATTCCACCGGCGACCACGGCGATAAGGGTGAAGAATTGGGCGTAGATACGAGCACGGAACATCTTATTCATCTCGACGGAGTCGCCGGCCTTCATCGACCGGTAGGCCCGGTACAGTGCGTAGGAAGTGGCAGCACATCCTAGGTTCAAGTAAGTTAGCTAAGCTTGGTTGAAGAAATGGTGTCTGAGCTTCAATGGTATGCCTACCTAGCGGAATCAGAGGCTCTTCCTTGAGACGTCTGCGGAACTTTTGGAGCGAAGTTTCCTCTTGGAACTGACTGCACAAACAAATATGTTAGAACTAGCTGAGCGACCAGTCTATGATCTGTATTTGAAAGGAGGAAAATACGTACGGATGTTCTTCAAAAGACGATGGGAGAGGCTCGCTCATCTTGCTATAATAATTACTGTGACCTGCTATCAAGTGTGGCGATCGGCGAAGGGGCTCGGAGAGGCTGGGGCCGCTGGAGCTAGAAGCTAATCAAATCTGCAGGTCATTAGCCAAGAGTTTGTAGGATTGAGGAGGCAGCCAAAGCTGCTCATGTATGCCGACCTTGATTGATCAGTAGCACCCTGTCCGGAGAGAATAGTAAATGCGTCGCGCGTGCACCCGGGCAACATGACGTCGGAAGGAACAAGCATACGGAGGAGATAATTTTCGTATTACTGGATACGGTATGTTACGCAGAGGCACTGTAATCACTTGTACCTTCCTTTACTCTTTATCAGGCCCGTACTTCGGACAGATAACCGGTTTGTGCTATGCCTCGAGTGTTCTACACTGTATACCAGGTGCTTTTTCCCTGTCAAGAATAGCCTCATAGAGCCGAAACTTAGAGTCGCAGATCTTCAATATATGGAGATGATAATGTACCTTCGTGAGACGCCTGCTCTTGACCATAGTATTACCAAGTCACGTTATCACTGATGATCTTGGATAAATCAAGTCAAAGTATCACTTTCGATGGCGGATCATGTGAATAATAAGTTCTGCTTTCGCCTATTCCTTGATTGGGCAAGTTTTGGGAAAAGCGCACCCGGAGTTTTCTTAACCTTGACAGATGGTTCATCAAGCTTGTGAGACTCAAAAGCCTGTCATAGATTACATCTGACCTCATTGGCTGGGAAGAAGCATGTACGTAAAGAATTTCCTACGCTTTCTGGTGGTGGTGCATGGATTCCTTCAGGCCCACTTCAACCATGAATAGCATTACGGGGTAAGTATATGAAGACCGCAATGTCTGAGAAAAATATTGAGTTGGCAGTTTGTTGCCGCTTCCGCGGAATACTCAAGGGGGGGAAATGCAAGAATATTACCTCGATAATAGTGCTATGATCCTACGACGCCCGAATATGCTCCTAAATTCTTTGCATGTCTTTTCTTATTCCTCAACATAAAACATTTTACAACTATTGCCGGCCTAGAACTTAGGGCTGGAATGGAGGGTTGATGACATAAAACTTTTCCGCTCCGATCACGGAATTCCCCACGGAATACACCTGATTGACTCGGATCTAGTGCCACCGCCGGACTTTTCGTTTGGTTGACTCAGAGGATTTCCGCCGGACTCTGGTCTTTGTCTTTGTTCTTATCACCTTCAATTCTCTCATATATACCCACAAAGACGCCATAATGCCGGGCGAAGTCACAGAGAACGGCGTTCCGTTCCCCGTTTCAACCAAGTTGGACAACCTGACCCTGAACGAGCGTTCTGCTGCTCCGTCTCCCACTTCGGACAAGGTGGACGGCCAGGAGCGATCAACAGTCGACTATGGCATTCCTGACGCCTTCCTGCTTCCCAATGGAACACCAGACGTGAGTCTACACTGGAGTTTATGTCCTCTATTCAATTATTCATGCGATTCTTGTATTTAGTATCTCCGGTTGATCCTGACGTCCCGTGTCTACGACATTATCGAGGAGACCCCGCTTCACCATGCGGTCAACATCAGCAATCGCTTGGAGTGCCGTGTGCTCCTGAAGAGAGAGGATCTTCTCCCCGTGTTCAGTTTCAAGCTTCGTGGAGCCTACAACAAGATGGCGCACTTGACCCACGAACAACGGTGGAAGGGAGTCATTGCGTGCTCAGCAGGTGGGTGGCGTCGGTGTTAACAAGTCAAGGTGACACTCGTCGACTGACACAATGAAAAAGGAAACCATGCGCAGGGCGTTGCTTACTCCGCTCGGAAATTGAAGATCCCCGCGACTATTGTTATGCCATCGGGCACCCCCGCTATCAAGCATCTGAATGTCGCCCGCCTGGGTGGTAGCGTGGTCCTGCACGGAGACGACTTCGACGCAGCTAAGCAAGAAGCGTACCGGTTGCAGGAGCAACACGGATTGACCATGATCCCCCCCTTCGATGACCCCTACGTGATCGCTGGACAAGGAACCATTGGCATGGAGATATTGCGCCAGGCCAATCTGCAGAAGCTGGAGGCTGTCTTTTGTGCCGTCGGTGGAGGAGGTCTGATTGCTGGCATTGGCGTCTACCTTAAGCGCATTGCACCGCACGTGAAGATCATTGGCGTTGAGGCCCAGGATGCCAATGCCATGGCTCAGTCTCTCGACTCGGGTTCTAGAGTGTTCCTGAAGGACGTGGGACTGTTCGCAGACGGTGCTGCTGTCAAGTCTGTCGGAGAGGAGAACTACCGGCTTGCGCGTGAAGTCATCGATGAGGTCGTTCAGGTCACAACCGATGAGACCTGCGCCGCCATCAAGGATGCGTTCGAGGACACGCGGTCTATCATTGAACCGGCGGGTGCTCTGGCTCTGGCCGGTCTCAAGAAGTACGCCGCAAACAACCCCAGCCCAGACACGAGCAGGGAGCTGTGCGCTATCGCCTCCGGAGCAAACATGGATTTCGACCGCCTGCGCTTTGTTGCAGAGCGTGCGGCTCTGGGAGAGCGGAAGGAAGCGCTCCTGAGCGTCAGGATTCCCGAGAAGCCGGGCGCTTTTGCGAAGCTCGTTGAGGTTGTTCTTCCTCATGCGGTCACAGCGTTCAGCTACCGCTACGCCCGTGAATCGTCAGCCGATGTTCTGATGGGCATCTCCTTGTCCGCCGCTACTGGCCGGGATGATTTGGCCAAAATCATCAGCCAATTGGTACGAGGTGGCATGGATACGAAGGATCTCAGTGATGACGAGCTGGCGAAGAGGCACTTGCGCTTCCTGGTTGGTGGTCGCAGCGAGGTCGCGGATGAACGGTTGTTCATGTTCGAGTTCCCCGAACGCCCTGGTGCTCTAGCCAAGTTCTTGACGACCCTTCGTCCCAACCAGAACATCTCTCTGTTCCACTACCGTAACTACGGTGGTGATGTTGGCAAGGTACTTGCGGGTATCCAATGCCCCGAGAACGAGAAGGCGGAGCTGGAGGCTTTCCTCAGCGACCTGGCTTATCCTTTCACTGAACATACCGATTCCCCTACTTACAAGACCTTCTTGCGGTAGAGGAATTCCGGTACTGTATTTGCTTTTCTCTGATCATATTAGAATTCTAGAAAACACAGTGTGGGCCGTTGATGGATTTTGTTTGAAATGTTATGGCGTTCTATTGGGCATGTGGAAGATAGACCGATCTGTGTACCTAAGTTTGGGGCTTTTCTTCGTATATACTTTAATGAAACATGATACTCACTCCATAATTTATCTATATCCGCCATAAGAAAGCAAATTTCGTTTGTCTTGCAAGTGTTTTATGGTAAATGCTTCGGAACAGTGGCAGCGAACCATGATTGGTCGGATATCGGAACTCGGCGGTACAGTAACTCCGGCCAGCATTTGCTCCGAAGGGATTCCGAACAATTGATGATGAGCGGTGCCAATATAGCTGTCTCGAGTCTAGATTCCCTCGAGATCCTCCATTTTCTCGCAGATTTTCGGCGGCCATAGATTTATCGTCCATCCGCCAACCGACACCATGCTGTCTTTCCGTTCCGTCTTTGGGGCCTCGACCGGTGCCCTCCGTCAAATTCTCCCCTCCTTCTCTCGCCGGTCCGCCGCTCTCGTTTCGCGCCCTTTTTCGCAAATCGCTCGCCTCTCCCTTGGCAATGGCCTTCGCCTTCTGCGCTCCGGGAAGCAGACCAACAATGTCGGAGTTGCTAGTGTGGGGTCCACATTGAGACAAGTTGAGCAGGTCCGGGGGATGAAGACTCGCTCATCAGTGAAGCGGTTGTGTGATGGCTGCAAGGTACGCCATGAATTATTTGAATCAGATTTCTTCTCTACTGTTGGAGAAATTGGCATTAGCGGGAGGTTGCGTGTAATTTGTTGGAATGAGGCTAACACAGTGGACCTGCAGCCTGTGCGGAGAAAGAACCGCGTCTACATTATCTGGTAAGACGACACTGATGCGAGCTGCAAAGCTCACTATAGCAAGATCACTAACATATTGTTTTGCAATAGCTCCAAGAACCCGAAGCACAAGCAGCGCCAAGGGAAATAGATGGATGGGAACGATTGCGAGAGCATGAGAGAATGAGCGTACCTTCGAACGAGATATTGCTTGCATTGAACATCAACTGAAGCCGATGGAACAGCTAGCATTACTTGCATGACCTCTGCCTGACCTTGTGACGGTGGTAAACAAATCGTGGATAGATGTATTGTGGGTATACGGCTACTACTACTGGGTCTCGACATTGGGAAAACCGCGCATTTGCTATGGGATACGACCAACTGGTTGGTTAGGCGCTTTATTGCATTGTCTGTACATTAATTGTGTCTATATATTGGAATTCTCTTTCTTCAAACACTTTTTCCCGGGTGAACTGATATCTTGGTGGTTGTTTGGTGGGCAGTCGTATTTCGGATGCGCGGAGTCCTTATGCGATACTTTTCCTGGATCCGACGGTTCCATGATCTGCTTCTCTCGTATCCTCGCCTCCTCGACATATGCGGGGTATAGCTCTTCATGATCAGGTTCGACGCCATGTTCTAGTCACTGACTGATCGACTCCGCACGGTTTGCATTTCTTCCCGAAGCAGCATGCAAGGGATGGCTCGTTCATATTCGAATGATGTCGAATATAGCATTCCCCTGATCGTTTAATCGCCGACAGACCCCTTTTTACAACCTGCATCAGCATACCTGATGAAGTCAACTCCTTCTATCATAAGCTTTGGAATGTGCGGGCACATTGATGCAGGATTCTGAAGGAATAGTCTGCAAGCAACCTCCTTACTCTTGCACTCTCGGTCATCGTCATGGCACGACTCTGTGCAGCAATCGTTTGTCTATGGTCCATCCCAGCAATCACTGCGCTGAGCAGCTCGTATACTTTCTCCGACTCTCTCATCTCTCAGCAAGTCTTGGACGGCGAGAACTTCCTCAAATATGACGGCGTCCGTGGTCCCTACGCGGACCGCATATCATACGGAATCAGTCGGGATCCTCCAGCACAATGCTCCGTTGACCAAGTTATCATGGTTAAACGACATGGTGAACGATATCCCACATCAGGCGAAGGAACTTCCATTGAACAGGCCCTGAAGAAAGTCAACGACTCCATCGCAGGTAACTACAGTGGCGGCGATCTAGCATTCCTGAATAAATGGACCTACTTCGTCCCATCCGACTGCTACGAGGCGGAGACCTCGACAGGGCCCTATGCAGGACTGAGAGACGCGTACAACCATGGCAAGGCGTACCGCCAACGCTATGGAAATCTTTATAACGAGTCGACTATTCTCCCGTTATTCGCATCTGACTTCCAACGAATTGTCAGCACAGCGCAGAACTTCGGACAAGGGTTCCTCGGTAACGAGAGCTATGCCACCAAAGCAGCGCTCAATATCATCTCTGAATCTGACAGCCAGGGCGCAGATAGTCTGACACCAACATGTCATGTACAGGACGATGATGCACAGAGCATCTGCGACGACATGCCATACTATCTGCCTCAATTCAATGTCGCTGCGGAAAGACTGAACGCTCAGTATCAGGGTCTCAACCTGAACTGGACTGACGTATACTCACTTATACGTAAATACCCCATCTCATCTACACCTATTAAACGATGTACACACTAACAGTGAGCAGTAATGACCGCCTACGAGCTCAACACGCGCTCTTCATCACCCTGGATCGACGTCTTCACCACAGACGAATGGATCAGCTTCGCCCATCTCTGGAACGTCAACTTCTACTACTGCGCAGGGTAAACCCCCAACCCCAAGCTTCAGCCATATCATACCACCACAATATCATCATCCAGTACTAACGACAACAACAATGACACCAACAGTCCCGGCAACAAATACACCCGCGCCCTCGGCGCCCTCTACGTAAACGCAACCCTCACTCTCCTCCAACAAGGCCCCTCCTCATCCGGGCCTCTCTTTTTCAACTTGTACATCCCCCCCCAAACACCCCCTTCCCTCCCTCCTCGTTTCACCCCACCCTACTAACAATAAATCCAACCAGTTGCCACGACAGCAACATAACACCCATAATAACCGCCCTCGGCATCGCCACGCCCTCCACCCCGCTGAACAAAACCCGCATCCCCTTCCCCCCATCCACCTGGTCCGTCCAGGACATAGTCCCCATGGGCGGGCGTCTCACCATCGAGCGCATGAACTGCACTGATTCTGCCCTCGCGCCGGGCGGGATCTTCGTCCGACTGATCCTGAACGAGGCGGTTGTGCCGTTGGAGGACTGTCAGAGTGGGCCGGGGTATTCTTGTCCGTTGGACGAGTACGCGGATTTCGTGGGAGGATTGCCGAGTTATGTGAGTGAGTGTGAGGTTCCGAAAGATGATAAGCAGGACCTGCAGTTTTGGTGGGGGTGGAATACTTCGACGGCGGAGAATTTTAGGATGGGAGGGAGGTGTGGGGGGTTGGCTTGATTGATTATTCTCTTCATGATCATGTGGTGGGCACTTTTGAGATAAAAATGGGGCACATGATCAGGAGAGGTTGAGATAGTAGTATGTGTATAGTAGTAGTAGGCTGCTATTGGTGTTGTTTTGGTGGTGAGTGAATGAATGAAAGTTTGAAATGATACATTCCGTCATGGCTCCATAAATATATAAAAACTACTAATAGCATAATTTGAACAACACCCAATCCCAGTAAACCAACCAACCAACCAACCAATCTAATATCCCAATTTATATACCCATAACCTACTGAAGAGGATCGATTCCTCCAAAAGTAACACTCTTGACCACCAAAAACTCATCAATACCATACTTGCTTCCTTCGCGACCAAAGCCACTCTGCTTGACACCGCCGAATCTATTCAACCAATCCAGTTAGCAAGGATCATTCAACAACAACATTCAACGAATAAGAAGCGTAAGCAAGGGTATACTCACGGCGAAGCAACATCACTAATCAGTCCCGTGTTAACACCCACCATACCAACCTCCAGCGCCTCCGCAACACGGAAGATGCGCTTGACATTACTGCTGAAGAAGTACCCGGCCAGACCGACCTCAGCCTTGTTAGCCAGGTCAACGACTTCCTTCTCTGTCTCGAAGGGGAAAAGACCAGCCACAGGGCCAAAAGTCTCCTCCGAAGCGACAAGCATATCCTTGTTCATCTCCGTGAGGACGGTCAGGTCATAGAAGTTAGGACCAAGGTGAGCGGCCTTCTGACCGCCCGTCAGGACCTTTGCGCCCTTGGACACAGCGTCGCGGACGTGTTCGTCGACCTTGTTGATGGCGCGGTCGTGGATAACCGGACCGTGGGTAACCCCTTCTTCGAAGCCAGCACCCAGCTTGAAGTTCTTGACCTTCTCGGCGAAGCGCTTGGCGAATTCATCGTAGATGCCGCGCTGCACGTAGATCCGGTTCGCGCACACGCAGGTCTGTCCGGAGCTACGGAACTTGGAGGCCACAGCGCCAGCGACGGCAGCGTCGAGGTCCTCGACGTCGTCAAAGACGATGAAGGGGGCGTTGCCACCGAGCTCCCAGGAGACCTTCTTGATGGTCGAGGAGGACTGCTTCATGAGGAGCTTACCGACGTTGGTGGAGCCGGTGAAGGAGACCTTGCGGACCTCGGGATGGGTGGTGATGGCTTCTCCAACCTCGGGGGTGTTCTGGGATGCGGTGACGATGTTGACGACACCCTTGGGGATACCGGCGCGGTGGGCCAGCTCGGCGAGGGCGTTAGCCGTGAAGGGCGTCTCACCGGGGGTCTTCGCGACAACGGTGCAGCCGGCTGCGAGGGCAGGGCCAATCTTTCTGGTGATCATGGCGGCGGGGAAGTTCCAGGGTGTGATGAGACCGCACACACCGACAGGCTGCTTCAGGGTCATGACCCGGTTTCCGGGCACGGAGGAGGGGATGGTGTCACCGTAGATGCGGGGAGCCTCTTCGCTGAACCATTCGAAGAAGCTGGCCGCGTAGTTCACCTCGCCTTTGGCGTCGGTGAGCGGCTTTCCGTTTTCCCAGGTTATCAGGGTGGCTAGGTCGTCGGCGTTGTCGATCATGAGCTGGTACCATCTACGCAGCATGCGAGCGCGCTCGCGGGACAGAGTTGTGCGGAACTTGGGGAAGGCTTCTTTGGCGGCTTGGATAGCCTTCTCTGTGTCTGCAGCGGAGAATTCGGGACATGTTCCGATGAGCTTTCCGGAGGCAGGGTCTGCAGAGGTAGTTCTGTGATGAGTATAGCTGGTCATTGTGCTTGTTGATGGTGAAAGGTATATGGCCTACCGTGGACTTCGAAGGTCTGTCCAGATTGAGCGTCTACCCACTCGCCATTGACGTATGCCTTTTGAATGAAGAGGGATTGATCTTTGAGCTACATGTTGACCGCTCAATTAGCGAATTGGGTTCTTGTAGATGAGAGACGAATTGTACAAAACACGAACCTGAGGAACGTTGTAACCCATGGTGGAAACTAGGCGTTTAGTGTGGATAGGAGCAGGAATGGCAAAAGGATAACGAAGGCGCGGTCTCAGGAGCTGCCGGGAAACTGGACGAATAAATCTCTCCATGACTGAAGTACTGAAAATGAATCGCAATCACACCCAGTGGGTCGTGTGGACGAGCAGATGTCCAGCTGCTCTCTCGCTCTTCGTTCCGAAGTTCGGTGCGGGGAGACCTCGGTTTGTCTGGGAGGGTGTCGTGTTTTTGGGTCGATGTATCACCACTTTCAGCAGTTGGCTTTTGAATAGAGATCTAGAAGGACTTCCAACCTATTCCGGGGCAAGACCAGCTATTTATTCTCGAAACTAGCAGTGGATTCTGGCAATGGCAATGCGCCGTGAATCTTACCGGCGGTCTTCAAGCGGGGGGAGCTGCCGGTCACGTGGGCAGACGTCATTCGGAGCTTTCGGTTGCGCCGCCGCGACAGTGCAGGGTTGCTGTCAGGTTCAGGAAGATGAGAGTACTGTATGGTCACTAACCTCGAGTCCTGCAAAATATCAAGGCTAAATTGGAGGCATTTGAGGCCATAGCTGGCTTTTGTTGCGCCTGTATCTCGATATATTACATCCGCGTAATTGGAATACCATATCGATATGCTATCCCTGGCCTCGGTGATAATGGCCAATCATGGAATGCCGACATGGGAGCTCCGGGAATTATACCAATAGGAGAACACTGAACTTCCGGTACCTGTAACTGTAATACCATTATATTACGAAATATACAATGCGCCATCACCGATCTATACAGCACCAATTGGGAGTCATTTCTTCGAGAGATATACACATAAGGCAGTTGGCTATAAAGTATTAGATTAATAAAATATCACTCATTATCGATATCATCTTCACCACGCGTGCCTGTTGAGGACCTGCCCTCGCTTTTGGAACGGTAATTTGGATGCATGCGCTTCATATGCAGATTGAGATTCCATGTCCGCGAGAAGCCCTTGCCATGCCTGGAGCACGCCCGGATAGGACAGATCAAGTCCTGCTTGCGATGCTCCCCTTTTCCTTTCGGTCGAGATCCATCCCCGGCATCTTCAGGCGCCGTACTGTTGGCTCGCGATGTCGAGCCTCCCTTGGTGGAAGCGGCACGAGAGCGTGGCCGCCTGCTCTGAGACCGAGAGGGTTGTGAGATTTCAGCCTCGGCCTCAGATTCGGGCTCAAGATCAGTCTCAACCTCTGGTTCCGATTCGCTTTCTTCGTATTTCCAGATCTTGGTATTGTCGTCTCGTATATGTTGCTTGATTTTGCCCTCTTTGAGCACCTGGAAAGCCATATCTTCGCCAAACAAGGCTGAGCATCTCTGTGCTGTTCGCATCACCACGGCTGGTGGCCAGCCTATCATGGACGCGACACCCAGCACCTCGCTCCAATTCCGTATCCCGAGGCGAATACGACTCGCGGACCGTCGACGATCACTACCGATGGAGCGGCCCCGTGAGCGGGAAGAGTGTTGTGACTGTGATCTGTGTCGTGAAGTTGCTTGAGAGGAGCTATATACACTTGACTCCGGTTCGCTTGATACATGCGTACTACGAGAACGAGCATCGCTCGACCCGCTCTTGAAAGATGACCGTCGGGTTCGTTTTCTTCCTCTCGACAGACTTCTGTCTCTTGGAGAATTGACTTTTCTCTTACGAGGTGACGAGCCAGACATCACACTCTCAGTGTCGGTCTGCCAGTCACTTGCGGAGCTGTCGTCCGCTGCCACTCCGCCCTTACGGGCACGATGAAGGCCCAGGAGAAGATCATCAAACCGCGAGAGTATATTCCGAGTGAGAGGGCGTAATTGTCGTCTTGATTTATCGTCGTCTGTCTGGACAGTAGGGCGTAATGGGGCGCCATCCGCACCTTCGCGCTCGCTTTCCCATGCGGTACTTTCGTCCTGCGTCTCGTGTTGAGATGCTGACCTTTTTCTTCGATGTGATGTGAATGGCTTCGACTCATAATCCCATTCCCTAGCCATAAACCTCTCTTTGGCTGTTCGTAACATGAACGCCATAATCGATTCCTCTAGTTCGGCACTTGGTCGGGGATCTGGCTGCATTCTCAGCGTCCAAGCATCATCAAGGCTTTTCCGCACTTCCTCATCCGGTCTAGGCACCTCGGCCGAAGGCAAAGGCCATGCTGTCCAGCGCTTCGGAGGAGCAAATGTATGCATCTCATCCAGCAGTTGGTCATTTGTCTCAGTTGCCCGTCTCGCGATCTCCCGCGCCCGGACCCGGAGCGCATAAGCATTGTACAAATGAGCAGCTAGATCTCGGGCACGAATATCTTCCAGAGCTTGAGCGTTCTGCCTCTCTTCAGCAGTCAATCTTCTCCATGTAGACTCAGGCCCGCGGAATCTGTTGGGACGGTACGAATGCGCCGAAGGGGTCTCTGAATCACGCTGGTGATCATGCCCAGTAATTTTTTGAAGTGGCTGCTTCTGCTCCCGCCGCCGCCGCTGATTTTCAGGTGACTGAGGTGCCGATGCATAGCTATCCGCATCTGAACCAGATTGTTCATCGTCATTGCTCTCAACGTACGTAGCATCCGAGTGATCATTCTCGATCGGCTCCTCTCCCATAATCACATCAAGATCTTGCTGGCTATCTCCTGACCCAGTTTGGGTTTCTGGGTAGGGTACCAGATCGGCAACATCTTGGCTGCTCGGACCTCCGAAGATGGACCTGTACGGTTGAGCTGACTGCGGCGGGCTAAAGCGCGCGCCGGAGAGTGAGGACATGCCTCAGAGTTGGCGTTTATAGAGTAGGTGGCTTGGTTTTGGGTACATAGAGCGATAAAATAGAGGCTTTGAGTTCAGACCCATATGCAGCAAATCCGGCTAGATAGCGACTATCTAAATGGTCGTTCGGTTGATGATCATCAATGTTGGCGGTGTGGCTGCAAGCTTATCTTCGGAGAATTAAAGATGCCAATCTATTTCATTTGACTATACATAGAGCCAGTAGAATCATATATGAATCGTACACTTAAAAGGAAAAGGAATCGGGCTTGTTGATGGAAAATTTATTGAATGGTGCGGATCACGACGAAAAAGTCGGATGCACGTGACTTGATACATGTCTACTGGGCATCACGATGTGTCCACTGCTTTCTTTTTACTAACACGCTGGATCATATGGTGCCAAGAGATGAGAATGGTCTATATAATATAGGATGTGTTTAGTTGCTGCGTAAGTATGGTTAGTCGCATGTGGTAGTACGTGAACTGTAATAATATAATTAATTTTTAATTATTTTCAAATAATTAAAAATATATTGAGTACTAGTTACATGCTATAATATATATTTAATTAATATATAATTATTATAAGGATAGAAGTCTGAGATAGTGTGAAGAGTATATATCTGTCGTTCGCGAACGTGGAAGGTAGGGGTTGATTGTCTTAAGATATTGTTGCTAGCTCTCCTAATCTTAGTCGCGAACAATCTGGTGTTGTTTCGCGACGGCCCTTGGGTCACGTGGCACTCTGGCGAAGGCCCTCGCGGTAGGACTGATATCAGCATGGGTATACCTCGCGATGAAGGATATCGCGAGGGTTGTAGGGATGTAGGTCCTTACAATCATTGAAAAGTTTATAAAATTAATAATAAGATTTCTCTAATTAAGATTATTAATTTATATATTTATATATTAATAAATTCTAAAATAAATAAAAATTAAATTAAAAAAGAATATTATATTTCAAAGATTAATATTATTATACCTCATGCCAAGAAATTAGTCTTATATAAATTGCAGGAATTCTAAAGGAATCACATATGCGATGCACCAACCCCAGTGGAATAGGATATAAGGTTCAAACTAACAAACAAATAACCACCTTTCCTCGGCCCTTCTGGAGACCCTTGTAGCATCACGCGAGGAATAGCCTTTGTGGAAAGGTTCAGAATGTATATATAGGTCAAATATTTAACTTCCTTCCGCAGCACAGACAGAACATAGGCAATGGTGTGGATGAAATGCGCAAACTATGAATAACATGTCAATTTACACAATATGCTTTTGATGTTGTATTGTTATCTGGAAAGCCCGTGCATGCTGTGCTGGAAAATGTGAATCCTCGATATCTGAGGTGCTAGTTCGTCGGCGTATAGTGAACAATGTCATTGTGAGCTGTAGAGAAAGGTATCCCTAGCTGATTGGCCCTTTGTTTGCAACTCAGCTTTTTATGGTATTTCCTATCTTCTGTACCATTCTCGGTGAGGTCTTAGATCTTTGTTGATAGAAGATTGAGCGAAGGACATATTCTCACCTGTAATTATGGCCACCTTCTGGTACCGGCCTTCGCATAGCTAGAATCTCCTATATATATTAACGATAAACATCAGGTCCGAAAATTAGAGAGTAGGGTCAAATTGTTGGCTCTCTGGGGTCTTAAATAGGCCCCCGAAAGAAAGAAGATCAGAAAGGTGAAAGCTGCAGATATGGTCACGTAGGCGGAACAGGATCGGGTGAAGTGTTTGACTATAGTGAATTTTTTAAAATATCAAAACAGTTCCATAAGCAAAGCAATCATAGTCAGTCGCAGCAAATGAACTCCGGCGGATACTTCCTTAAAATTTACGGGAGTACCCATGGAATGAAGAACAGCGGTGGATAGCCGATTTGAGCTAGGTAGTTCATTCACAAGTATAATCCAGTCACTGTCTGCTGAAGCAGGCTATCACTCTACATTAAGAGTACCACCAGCTGCTGTTTCACCCTCAGGAAGCCTTCTTTATATTGGTTTCACCATTGAAGCTATCAACAGATGATCAGAGAACCATAACTGCTCACAGATGCCAAAGAAGTATTAATTCATAGCCAGACCTAGACAAAGTCCACCAAGCCAAAATTTGGAATATCAGTGTGTCCTTGGTAATTAAATAAAAGGCATGGTTAGGCGTAATTGCCCTTTGTTAGCTCGGACATGACATGCTTTAGGCCACCCATGCCTTTTTTAAGAATGTGAATAATAACAGGCATCATATCATGCCCAAAGAGTCGAGGCTATCAAGAGATGGGATCAACTTCTGAGATGGCTCAAGAAATGATGGCAGGTTGTCCTTGCTTGTACCAGAACCGTTGTGAAAGCACCTGACTTTTTTTTTCCTTATTTATTTAAGACGGAAAAAGGGTGAGCTGGCCAGGTGAAGTGAGATATGGAGGAAATGAAGTCAGATTGGTCTACGATAATTTGCTATCTAAGGATTGTCCCTCGATATTTGTGCTATCAACGAAAACTAATTGTTCCAGCTTCGTGAGTTAGACCACTGTAGTGCCAATTTTCGTCCCCCAATAGTTCTAACCGCAGAAGATAAACTGCAAATTGGGACCAGCAAAGTAAAAGTCCGAAAAAGCAGAGAGTGAAGGAAAATTATCAACCCCGCTTCTTTCCGCTAAATTTTTGGTGGATGGTTCGATATCTAACAATTGATTTCTTGAGAATCAGGGCAGCAAGCTCTCCCGAACCTTCCATACGTTCTCAGCCCGCTTCTGTATGTCGATGTATCTCTCATCTTGGCTGGTACATAGGCGCAACGAAGTTCGTATTTCTAGCATGGATATGTACTTTTCTGTATCTGCCCGAGTATTCCGTCCAAGAAATTCCTCCAGCCTTGTCAATACCAAGATCAACTTGATTGGAAATAAAGTTGATCTTGGTATACATACTTCGGGATTAATTTTCGGTGGTTCGGCTTGGTTACGTACTTGGAGATAAATGGTCTCGGTAATCCTATCGAAGGATATGATGCGAACAACTAAAACAACAGAAGTACAAGACAACAGACAGTCTGATGGGGATCCACTTCGAAAGAACCATGGCCTCGTGTATGCGCATGAATATATCCATCAAAGCCAATATATTGAGAACAAATTACACGTTAGATTCGACCGTGAGTTTTTATGTTTCTAAAGCATTTGAGGATTGTCTCATGCTACTAGGATGATAATATATTGATGTAAACATTCTACACATTGAGGTGCTCACCTCTCGAAAATGGATAACTTTAAACAGCATATGGCTTTCGTACTTGTCTATCACTTATAGTCTCCAGAAACGTACGTTTCCGTCAGAATCTGGGATAATAAGCAGCTTGGAATCCCTCGAGCAGACCATTTCCCCGCGTGGACACCTGCTGATCTTAGTGTCTGGTCCCCGTGTAAACTGCTGCTTGAGATTTGTAGCCAAATTATATACCTCAACCGTTCCCTCAAGTATCCGGAAGATCAACTTGTCGCCGATAAACTGTACGCCTCCAATAGTTGCGTATTCCTGCATCATAAAATCATCGAAATGCAGAGACCATCTCTGTTTCTCTATTCCTGTGTAAGGGTCCCACAGGCAAAGTGTACCGATCTGAAGCCCACCGGCCAAAAATCTCCCATCCGGACTCCAGGCCATGGAGCGCGACCATGTAGGTAATTTGATACATGAGACTGGCTGTGCCGTGGGGATATTGTAAATATAAATAAGGTCGCGACCTCCCTGGCTGATAGCTAAATATTTAGAGTCTGGGGAGAAGGCACCGCACCAAAGTTGGCCGTCCAAGGGTCCAATAATATGAAGGGATTTGCCGGAGAGAATATCCCAGATCCGCGCGGTGCCATCCCACGATATGGAAGCAGCTAGGGAGTTATCTGGACTGATGCTGATTTATATTACAATGTCTGTGTGACCTTGGAGCCGATGTCGAATTGATCGGCTATCCACATCCCAGAGAATGACACAAGGGGAGTAACGGCAATTCCCAGTATAATAGTTAATTGTAACGTTTTGGACGATGTATATCATCGTTTTACCGTCAGGACTGAAGACTGCCCCCCCGAATGAGCCCAATTCGCCGGGGAAACAGTGCATGAAGTCGGTGTTCTGATGGTCTGCAGCAGTAATTTGTTGTTCTTGTTCCTCTTTCAAGGAAGGCATTTTCATGCCATACTGATCAAGCTCCCATACTATAATATACCCGTTTCCTCCACCTTCTTCTTCACTCTGTGATGATAACAAATAACATGGGGCATCCGGCTTGTTGATTGAGTCCTTATCTAGGCTGGGTGCAAAGGCGACAGTAACTACCTCTCCAGGATGTCCATATAACACATTGACTCGCTCCTTGGTGTTCACACGGAATAGGTGAATTTGATTTGCAATTCCTATTGCAATTATCTGATTATCTGGACTTATGGCAGGGGTGGTCGCCTCCCCGTCGAGAAAGATCTTCGCTTCTTCCTGACCCCAGTGTTTTGGATGGCCGTTCTCCCAAGTGGCCGGCACACCAGACAATGAAGCAAAATCCGAACGGATGCAATATGTCCAATTCTTAAGAAATTTTCGTTCGTCCATTTCATTGTCATTCTCTTCACAGGATATAGGATCCCCCGTGTGTTCTGAAGAGCTGCTGAATGATGACTCGGACGTCATACTGTGAAAGACTCCTTTGGGCTAAAGAGGAAAGTAGAATACGGGGCAGACCAGAAATTCGCGGGTGAATTTCGGAAGAAGGCCGAGACGATAGTAAACTAGTTATAACTAACTAGCCCAAGGGAACAATGACTGACCAAGACCGACCGGAGGGCGGCGAAAAGACATGCCCGCCTGGGCAAATGCTGAACACACACAATTCATTAACGCCCGGCGGCTCAGCCGAAATGGCAACTATCACTAATCTATCAACACGAAGTCTAATGTACATTTGCTGTATCTCCTTGGAGCCCATACATAACTCCAATCTAATTCCTATCTAAACTCCCGAAGAGTAAACTCATATTGGACCTGTACATGGCTCTTCATAATACTATAACCAGCAGGGATCAGACAAAAGACAATTTTGGTCAGACGGTAGACGTGTATACTTATTAGACAACACTCTAACTGAATGCTATGATAAATACAAAGAATCAAGACGCCAATATAGGAATGCTTCCAAATCCCAGCAGGATATCATTCTATTGTCACAGAAAAGCCAACTTTTATGTGCCTAACTTCATTTCTGGCCCTCCTTCTCGAGCTTTCTCCGCTTAGACCGCAGCTTGGCAGCCTCTTCGGACTTCTGCTTGTTCGAGTACATCATCTTCTCGAGGAGCTTGCGCTTCTTCCGGCTCATCATCATCTTCTGTCTCTCCAGCTCTTCCTCCTCCTTGCGCTTCTTGGAGGCGATCTTCTTGGCCTGAGCGGACTTCTTCTTGGCTGCTTCACCAGCACCACCACCAGACGAGAAAGGAAGGCCAGCAGCTTCAGCCTCCAGCTCCTTCTGGTGCTGTGTCCGGGCGGCCTCCTCTTCATCCTCAGACTCGGAGGCGGCCTCGTTGTCCTCGAAGCCGCCGAAGTCCTCGTCCTCTTCCTCGCTCTCGCTCTCGTCCTCATCAGTCTCAGCGACATCCATGCCACCGTTGATATCGGACTCTTCCTCGCTTTCAGCCTCGGACTCCTCTTCCTTGGTCTCGGCCTTCTTCTCATCAGTGGCCTCCTCCATCTCTTCGTCGCTGTCTTCGTCCAGCTCTGCCTCACCTTCCTCCTCCTGCTCGGCCAAGCTGGCGCGGGGGTCATAGCCACCCTTGGAAGGCTTGACCCACGGGCTCAGGTGAGGGGGAAGAGTGGCACCCGGGGCGTACAGATCAGCACGAAGGAGCTTGCCCTCGTTGATGCAGTCCCACACCCATTGGGGCTGGACATAGGTTCTGCCGGGAATGCGGGTTCCCGGTCTGACCTTCTGAGCAGCACCGTCTGTCGAAGCAGCAGGGATAGCGGGCAGCGAAGACTCAGGCAAAGAAGGGCGATCGACAATCTGGTGGGTGATGCGAGTATCCGTCTCATCGTGGGTGAAAGCTCCGTCACCGAGGACAGCGTCCCATCCAATCCTGGTGCAGCCGAAGGAGCGAAGGATGAACTCCAGGGGCGCCTTGGGGGCCTCACGGGAAACGTAGAAAACGAAAGGTGCGAACAGAGAACCAGCCTCATCTCCGCTCAAGTCGGGCTGGGGAAGAGTGTCGGCCTCGGGGGCAGTAGGCTCGAACTTGTCGATAGCCTCAGAAGCTTCTTCGGTTGTCTCAGTAACTTGCTCGTCTTTGGTCTGATCCAAGCCTGCGGTCTTGATGACCTTGTCGACCTTGGCCTGAACCTCCTTGGAGACTTCCTGGTTGGAAGGCTTGCTCGCCTGCTTGTTGGCTTCGAGAGCCTTGGGGGCTTCGCCGACGGTGCGACCCTCCAGAGTGAAGGCCGCCAGCTCAGCACCATTCTCGTCGCTCCTCTTATCGAACTTGGGGGGATAGCGAAGACCAAGAGTCGAGTAAAGACGGTAGTTGACGAATCCGAGCAGAGTCGTGTAGAAGTCGACGAAGGTGGCCATAATACGGTAGTCGACGTCGCCGTTGACACGCTGCACGAAGCGGTAGGGCACAAGCCACATAATGTCCTGTCCCTGGATAGTCGCCTGGTAGTAGATACCCTTGATCGACAGGAAAGATTTGCGCAGAGAGTTCGTGGTGATCAGGTAGTGCTGGAACTCGTGGGTAACCCGCTGGCAGAGAGCGATGGTCTTGGCTGGGACATGGGGAGAAGAGGGGAGGTTGGCAAAGAGGAACAGCAGAGACAAGGCATCGTCGAGATCTCTCAGAGCGTCAATGAATGTCGGGTAGCGCTCCTTGATGATATGGTCCAAGGTGAGCTTCGGCGCATGGTTCTTCTCCAAACGGGACGCATCAGAGACTTCACCACGTCCAAGGGAGCGGGCAATCTTCTTCGCAAGCGCCTTCTGGTCACGGAACTTCCTCAGGAGGGGTTCATGGAGGAGGAACTGAATATCTTTCGTGTAGTAGAAAGTGGTGTTGGGAGTGGAAGTCTTGGAAGCCTTCTTCTTGTTCCGGGGCTCACGGGGGTAAATTCCTGTTTTGCGACAAAGAACGAATCAGCATCATGTATATAACTTTAAACCCTCAACCCATCAAAAGGATATGCATACCCTTGAAGATACATAGTCGACGGAAATCCGGGAGGGAAATCTGAAGTTTGCGCACGGCCTGGGTTCTGGTAATGTAGTTTTTGGCCTGGCCAGAGGTTCCTGAAAGAAAAGAGATTGTTAGCATGAAATTGTCGCATGAAAATTGGGGGTGTAAGTACCCTTCTTCTTAATCTTGGCCATGTTTGCGACTGTTCTGGTGCAAGTGTTGCGGGTTGAAGACTGGAGAAAATCCCGATAACCAGAAAAATCTCGATAAGTTTTTTTTTCTTTTACTTTTCTGGATCAGCAGCTCGGAGTGGTCCGTGCACGGCGGAAAAGGGAAATGCGCGGAGTCTTGGCACGTGAAGCCAACCGGACAGCTGGAGATCCGCGGCCTCCAACTCCCCCAAGCGTTTCACGGCCGTTGCATAGGCCGTCTCTTGATCAATACGGGCATGCACTGAGTGATCAGCTTCTTTGAAGTCAGTATGGGGGTAGATCATAGGAAAGCCGCCGTGTTCGGTGGTGCTCTGGCCCTGCGACTTCTTCTCTCAGTACTATTCCCCTCACTCCCCGACTTGTTGACGGGTAGAGTCGAGGTATCAACACCGGTGACCAGCTTCAAGAGACGTAAGTCGGAGGTAGCAGTCTTGAGGTTACTGGAAGCTAATACTCGCTCTTATAGTTCAAGAAGGACTTTTCCTGTACATGCGCAATGTTTCCCCCTATGACGGAGGCGTCTTCCATCAGGTATAACCGACGACTATACAATCGAGTGAACCCTCCTAACAGAGCACAGGCACCGCTACTTCTTCCTCTATTCTCCCTCTTACCTAACGCGCAATCCCATCCTCTTCCTACTGCGTTATTCTATTCGATGATAGACCTGGTGAACGCAAATGCTCTGGTTGCGATCTCGGATTCTGGACAGGCGGTATCGGGGAGATTCTATTCGGCATTGCGAAAGCATATCAGATGGGATGGAGTGTCTATTGCGGCATGGTGAATGGCGGATATCAATACTTTGTGTTCTTTGGTGCTGACCTTGTCAGGTTCCTGTTCAATCCCTTCACCATCGCTACCTGCTTGGGCCGGTCGACCGGGGTGTTTACTACGACTGGAATCCTATACGCCTTTTCGAGCGCTGTCACCGGAAACAGTCTGAATGCAATGCTATCTCTGGGGCTTGCATCGTACCTGTCGATATATCCAGCACTTCTCTTCATCCCGCTTGTTCTTCTATGCTACGACCAGCGAGTCCAGAAGACTAAGGTTTCCACCGGTACCCTACCGTTCGCTCTACAACACTTCGCAGTCTTCCTTGCATGCATTCTGGGACTGCTTGGCATATCTACTCTGTTGATTGGAGACTTCTACACCTTCATCTCCGCGACATATGGCTTCCAGTTGCTCGTGCCTGACCTGACCCCCAACGTTGGCCTTTGGTGGTACTTCTTCATCGAAATCTTCGACTCTTTCCGAGAGTTCTTCCTTGGGGTGTTCTGGCTTCACTTGGCTGCATACATGGGCGGCCTTACTGTGCGACTGCGCCGGCAGCCTTTGTTTGTGCTGACGTCCCTTTTGGGCATCTTTGCCATTTTCAAACCGTATCCCAGCATTTCCGACGCATCATTATACTTCGCCCTGCTCCCACTCTACCGCCACCTCTTCCCTCGTAAGCAGATCCTCTCGTGCATCTATTGACATGTGCTGATCTACTATTTAGTGATGCGTTACACATTTTTCGCAATCTCCGCCCTTCTCTACGCCACTCTCCTAGGACCCGCATTCTACCATCTCTGGATCTACGCCGGCTCCGGCAACGCCAACTTCTTCTACGCCATCACTCTGGTATGGAGTCTCGGTCTATCAATATTACTAGCCGACACCATCTTCGCCGCCCTCCGCGATGAATGGGAATACGACAACCCCGAGTTGCGCGGCAAAGAAGTGCGACAAGTTTAAGTTCATTTAACTGTACTCTAATCTACATACCCACAGCATAGCATCCATCCCAAGAATAAATGTTCAATAGATCATACATACGGCCCACCATCCAACCTAACAGACATAATCCTATAATCCGGCTCCTTAACCATCCCATTCCTCAACCTCCTCGGCCGAGGACTATACTCATCCGTACCGAACCCAATAGCCTCATAAAGCCCCTGAGCCACCCGATTCGACGTAAACACCGTCAACATCGCCTTCTCCACCCCAACTCGTCTCCCTATCTCCATCAGCACAAGCAGTAGCCGCTTCCCGAGCCCTTGCTTCTGCACCTCAGACGACAGATGGATCTCGTAGAGATACACCACCTCTTTCCCGTCTTCGTACGTAATCATAAATGACATGAATCCGACCACTGCATTCTCCCCATCCCTTTCACCATCCGTCGAAGATGATAATAATGAATCCTCCCGACGAACAACTAAATACTTCATATCAGGAAGCTTCATCTCCTTCTTCTTCTTACTGGGAGACCACCCTGTTGAGGAAGATCGATATGCTTCGGAGGATGTCTCCTCGATGAGATCAAAGCATGCATTTAGGTCGCTGATGGGGATGCTGGCTGCAGAGTGGATAAAAAGTTTATACCTCTGCTCGTCAGTTGATGATGGGGTTTCGGGTTTGTAGGTGTATGTCAGAAACTCTGGGGTGATGTATTTTGAGGTGAATTCTTGGATGCTGAGTTGGTTGGTGCGCTCGACGAGCGGGAGTGATGATGATGGGTTGTCTGCGATGCTGTCAGTATTATAATCTTCTTATGGTACAGGATGTTTTTATCGTGTTTTATTTTACGTACATTGACTCCCATCGCGCTCATACTCATGATCATGTGGTTGGGACTTGGTTCTAGTAGCTCGTGTCTTCTTCGGGTGTTGTACGCGTCTCCGCCGCGCGGTAGTAGTACTAGTAGTGGTGGTGGTGTTCTTGGTTATTCGGCCTGCTTGGACGGATGATGACATTTTCGCCTCGCTTTATGCGCGCTTTTGATATATAAGTGTTTCGTGTTTCTCTTTGTTTAGAATTCTAAGGGAGGTGTGTCTTGGTTTTAATGCTTCGCTGGGTGTTGAAGATTTGATGTGTCGTGTAGGCGAGGTGATTGGCTGATGTGCGGGATTTCCGTTGTCCTTTTCCCATGGCAGGGCGTTGTGCCGGGATGGAGTGTTGTACATGCATGCATGAGTGTGTTGTGCATGGTGGAGAATACGTTGCTTTTTATGGGTTCTATGAAATTACCACATGAATTTCAGAATACTGTATACGGTTTGTTTTTGTTAATATTTTTGTGGTTGTTGTGTTCACCATGATACTAGCTGCGAGCTATATATATATATTGAGATGGTGGCGGACAGATCGAAGCAGTTGTACTACATGATGGTAGGATACAGATATCTAAGCTTCCTCAGCTCTCAACTTTGCCGCAAACTCCTCAGCCCGTCTCTCAGCCTCTTCAGCCCCCAGTTCCCCGAAAATGTCAATTCCCCAGCGGAAGGGGTAATTGTAGCGCGTGTTGCGGTCGAGTTTGTTAAGGGCCTCGAACTCGGCGTCGGGGATGATGAAGTCTACCATTGTTAGAAAACTGTGATATACAGGGAAACATATAAGAATTACCTTGGAAGTTACTCTCAATTCGGGATGGGGTAACACTCTTTGGCAAGACGGCCGTGCCGCGCTGAACAGCCCATGAGATCAATAACTGAGCGGGTTCCTTTTCCAGCTTCTTCGCGATTTCTTGGACCTGTGGGTCGTCGATGACACTGCAGATGGATTAGCGCGCGATGAAGTTTAAGATTCGAAGATACCTACCGAGGTAGCTCGTAGATGTTGTTGCCCAGAGGGCTGTATGCGACAGGAAGGATGTTCTAGTTTATCTCTATCAGCAAAGCCATCACTCCAGCAGTTCTGGAGACGGTGCTTACCTTCTCCTTCAGATACTCAGTGAGCTTTGGCTGGAGTAGGTACGGGTGGGCCTCGATCTGGTTCGCAGCAGGTGGGATAGTCGCGGTCTTGAGCAGCTCCTCTACCTTTTCGACGGTGAAGTTGCTCACACCGATACTGCGAACCTTGCCCTTTCGGACGAGGTCCTCCATGGCTTTCCAGGTTTCAGAGATCGGAACGTCTGCCAGCTGGAAGCGCTTCGTGACTGGGTCTAAGGGAGGTTGGAAAGAGTTCTGGTGGATGAATGCCACGGGCCAGTGGATCTGGGTTTGTTAGTAGGATCCGGGGATCGAGTATAGATACCGACGTACCAAGTACAGATCGAGATAGTCGGTCTGGAGATCCTTGAGGGTCTTGTTGACGGCCTCTTCTACATTTTCGGGGTGATGGTGGGTATTCCATAGCTTGCTGGTGATCTAGAAGGCCATGAAATGAAGCTGTTAGTTGAAGTGTGCATGACAATAGGGAATGCGACATGGGTACAGACAAAGATTTCCTCGCGCGGCACTCCTGATTTCTTCCAGCCATCTCCGACTTCTGTTTCGTTCTGATAAATGGCAGCGGCATCGATGTGACGATATCCAGAGCGCAGAGCTGCCTCGACCGCATTCTCGACTTCGTGGGGTTTGGACAACTGGGACTGTCAGTTTACGATGAGTTGATTTCGCGAATGCTTCGCATACCCATGTCCCTAAACCGACGGCGGGGATCTCGTATCCCGAGTTAAGCTTGAAGGTACGTCCCAAAGACATGTTGTCATAAGCAAGATTGTATGGAGTATCAGGAGAGTGTGTGATGTTTGTGTAAGTGAACAGAGATCACGAGCTTAAAGTTCAAGGGGAAAAGAGAGCGCGCCATGGTCAGGAGTGAGGGGATAGCAGATTACCCCTCATTCAACCGTCGATCCCGTCCGCGCAATGCGATATCAAATCATGTTAAGCACTGAGCCTATGGAATCCACTGGTTGAGTGACGGATGGTGCAATTTAGCCGTGTCTGTTGTCAACTCATCCTGTTGGGTGATTGCGCGATGCTTTAGGTCCCGCTTGGTTTCGCCAGATAAATGGCTGGACAGCCTGATCTATACTATTTAACGCGGAAAGAATTTCAATATTCATGCCACAACTGCAGTAATGCAGTAATAAGAAGTAGAGTAATTTTGTCAATCATTTTTAGACAAACATGTGGTCTGGGCGACTACAATAATAGACCGGTTGATCATTGGGCTCTGTATAATCGTTGATAGTCCCTCTATATTATGGATTATAGAACCGACTTCCAACACCGTCGAAGGAGAAGCTTCTGGCGACTTCGCACCAGGATGGCGATGCTGCGTAGCTTATTACAAAGTACTGGTTAATTTTCCGGCAATCTCGAAGCCTACGTCACTAGTTCCTCAACTATCATGACCGAAATATCCCCGGAATGGGACTGCAATCAGATGATCGTAAATTAAGGACTGTTGAATGTTATCAGAGCGAGAGAAAATACCTGGATTGTAACTGGAGTCTGGATAACGGGGATAAAGCTGGTTTATGGGGTGTCGGAGAATTAACGATCGCGATGTAAAGCGCCTAGAAAAGCGCGGGGTTCCCTCGGCTTATCCGCGTACTGCTTGTACGGGCTGATAGTCTTGAATCCGGGTCACAATGCGCATAAACACCCCGTGCCCGGTATACATAGATGACTGTTAGGGGCAGCTTATCATGAATATTGCCAACACGTTACACTATTCTGTCAATGGCTTGCGGGCCGGTTTTTCGGCGTTTGAAAACTAAGGTCCTCTCGGCCTTCGAACCCGGGGAAGCGGTTGTCCCTCCAACGCCCACGTGCCCCGCGCCACTCACCGAATACTGGTGCATACATGTAAGATACTTTCTCATCCAACATATTCCCTTCAGGATAGTAGGTGATACTTTGCAGTTGACTTATACAAACATATATATTACTGATTTCCTAGTACATAAGTTGGCCAAATTGCAGTCCCCGAGATAATCCCGATAAGGTAAGGGAAGCCGAAAGGGAGAAGACCGACACCAAACCGGAAAAGTCTGCTCTTTCTCTGGCGGGGCCCATGGTCCACCTCGCCCAGCTTCACTTATTCATTAATCTTCCACCATCTTCCCTAGGCGAGGAAGGTCAGGGCTTTTGCTCAATTACTGCTATAGACAGGAGATTCACTGCACGGTGATGATGAATGTCCTGATTTCAGATTGTTAATAATACATCAGCATGGAAAAACGAAGGCGCTGCGAATTGATCCCCAGCATACTTTATGCTGGAGGTTTCAGGCACGACTCTTACTATCACAATGCCCCACTTGCATAGAATGATGGAAGAACGGATTTATCAGCAAAAGATCATCGTGGGAACAACTGCCTTCTCTATGCGTACCTTGATTTGCTGGTTCAGCTCATGTCTCCATATTCTAAACCTTCATTCCCTTCTTTAAGTCTTGTGGCCTTATTATTAAGCCCACCGTCACTCAAGTGGAGCTTGCCCACTTACGTCAATAAACCAACAGCAAGAGCTCTTTAAAAAGCTACAAACCTCCCAACCAAGATGAATTCCAAGCATTGATCACATTCTGTTGCTATTGTCACCTGTCACTCCCTGCACCTCCGCCTTTCAGAACAAAGACACATCAGAAAAATGGGCGCTACATCTCAGAAGCAGTGGACCGTCCTCAACAAGGACAACGACTTCGATGGCCTCACCTTTGGCGAGGCCCCTATCCCGAAAGTCGGTGAGAACGAGGTTTTGGTGAAGTTCCACGCTGCGTCGTTGAACTTCCGTGATCTGATCATCCCCAAGGTGCGTTCACCATCCCCAGCCTGTCAGCCAGCTGTTTTTCCGTCTGTTACGCTGTATTCCTCACAACTAATTCTTATTGTTGCAGGGCCAATATCCCTTTGCGCTAAACTTCCCGGTTGTTCCTGGCTCCGATGGTGCCGGTGAGGTTGTCGAGACTGGCTCCAAGGTGACTCAGTTCAAGAAGGGTGACAAGGTTGTCACTCTGTTCAACCAGCAACACCAGTACGGCCCTATCGATGGCCGCGGTGCCAGCTCTGGTCTCGGTGGTGTTATTGACGGTACCCTTCGTCAGTACGGTGCCTTCAACGAGAACGGTCTTGTCAAGAGCCCTGAGAACCTCAACCACCTCGAAGCCAGCACTCTATCCTGCGCTGCTCTGACGAGCTGGAATGCTTTGTATGGCTTGAAGCCTTTGCAGCCTGGTCAGACGGTGTTGGTACAGGGAACCGGAGGTGTTAGCATTTTCGCTTTGCAGGTAAGATTCCCATGCCCAGGGCTTGTAGAACTTACCAAGGCTGACGCATATACCTCACTAGTTTGCTAAAGCGGCCGGCGCAAGGGTCATTGCTACTACCTCGTCCGAGGAGAAGGCGAAGAAACTGAAGGAATTGGGTGCCGACCATGTCATCAACTACAAGACTGAGCCCAACTGGGGTGATGTGGCCCGCAAGCTGACGCCTGACAACGTCGGTGTCGACCACATTATCGAGGTCGGAGGCAGCGGTACCCTCAACGAGAGTTTCAAGTGCATCAAGTTCGAGGGTGTGATCAGCATCATCGGATTTGTCGGTGGCGTTGACCCCAAGTCCATGCCCAACGTGCTCGATACCTTGGGCCACATCTGTACTGTCCGTGGTATCTATGTTGGTAGCAAGGCTATGATGAACGACATGGTCAGGGCTATTGAGGCCAACAACATCCACCCGGTTGTGGATGAGAAGGTCTTCACCCTGGAGCAGACTCGGGAAGCCTACGAGTACATGGTGAGTGACTTGTCCGCGCAATGTTTTGATCAAGTGCTAACATAATGAACAGTGGGGACGCAACCACTTTGGAAAGCTGGCCATCAAGATCGAATAAATGCGACAGTGGCGAGGCAGATCCCTTAGATTCGACGTAAATTGTATGATTGCACGAGTACCAATATAATTTATCACAATTTCATATATTGAAAGAATTATTCGAGTAACGTCAATAAAGTTTTCTCCTCATATGTCTAGGAACTATATAGCGAACAGAAATGCACTGCATACCTAGTCCAGAAACGACACGGTGCTAGCTGTGACAGTAAATTTAACA